CCAGCAGCCCTCCCCGGCCCCCAGGCATAATTCCGACCACCCGGGCCACCAAAGAAGGGGGCGCGGGGCCCGTTGGGCATCCACGTTCCCCACCCCGCCAACTTTAATTTGCGGGGAATGCCCGAAGCACAAAATGAACGCCGCCGCGCCGTTTACGCAATGATGTGTGCGTGGATGTGTGTGGATGTGTGTGTAGGGGATGTGCATGCGGACCTGGCAGCGTGAGAGCCAGACTATCCTTCTGTTCGCGGGTTGCTCGTCTGAGCGCCGTCCGCTTGCGCGGCTCCCCCGCACGCGAGGTTTGCCCCTCGCTCTTCCCGCTTCCCTTCCTCAGTCTCTCGCCGTCTTTTCCCGCCGGGGTCTCGCTCAAGTTCCGCGGCCGCCCCCCCCCAATAAAATCCGCCGCTCCTCCTTGTCTCCTTCCATCTTCATCCTTCAGCAGCGCCTTCGTTCAGTCGCTCTCCAGTCCCTCCGCCGCCCGGTTTTGGCGTGATCGCAGCGCTCCGCAGCGCCTTCTGTGCTCAGGAATGCGGCGACGGCGGCGGCGACCTTCACACTGGATGGGTTCCCCTCTCGCGAGGCAGAGGTAACGCCGGCACACACCCCCCCTCCCCCGGCGGGCTCGCGGATGAGTGGGAAGTGGCTGGAGCAACAGCAGTGTCGTGCGTGTCCTGTTGGCACGTGCTAAGTTGGGGTGGCGCTGCTGGAAGGGGAGCCCCCTCCCACATCGCGAGCGCGACCACTCTTCCTTCCTCCCTTCCATGCGCCCCCCTCTCTTCCCCCCTTCCATTTTATAAAACCGATCTGCCTTTCGTCACGCTCTGATCTTTTCCCCTGGCCATTCCCCGAGTTGATTTATGGTGTCCTGCAAGGATCGTCCTGCCGCTATAATTGTTCAGAAGACGCGAGGTTTCTTTCCTCATCAATCACCAGCGCGGAGATCCTTGGGATGGGAGGGGGAGGTCAACAGCCCTGGGTACCACTGCCCATCTTCAGCCAAAGCAAACAAGGATGAGGGGGTTGATGTGGGCATCCTTCTTTGAAGGTGGAGGGGCACTGTGCTGCAATTGGGGCAATTCTTGAGCTTCATGGTAAAACACCTTTTGAATGGAATGGGGGGGGCCACCCCTTAAACCGTTGAACGTCCTGCCTCCCCCCCCCCATTGTTGCAAGAG